TCACCACCATACATGGTAATCAAGTCTTTTTTCTTGTGATGAGAATTTTTAAGATTTACTTTTAGCAACTTTCAAATATACATACAGCATTATTAACTATAGTCACCCAGCTGTACATTACATTTCCATGACTGACTGACTTTATAACTGGAAGTTTGTACCTTTTGGACCTCCTCCACCCATTTTGGGCAACTCCCCAACCCCACCCTTTGCCCATTTTTTTTGAGTGAAGTTGAACATCTTTTCTCATCTAAGGGCTGTTTAAAAATCTTTATTTGTGAATTGTCTCCTCTCTTCCCCATTTTCCCATCAAGCTTTTTTTGTTTTGTTTTAAGGTTTATTTTTTTTAAGTGTGTCTGGGTGGCTCAGTTGTTAAGTGTCTGCCTTCAGCTCAGGTTATGATCTCAGGGTCCTGGGATCAAGCCCCGTGTTGGACTCCCTGCTCAGCGGGAAGCCGGCTTCTCCCTCTCCCACTTGCCCTGCTTGTGTGCCCTCTCTCACTGTCTCTCTCTCTGTCAAATAAATAAAATTAAAAAAAAATTTTATTTTTTTTTTAGAGAGAGAGCACATGCAGGGGTGTGGGCAGGAGCAGAGAGGGAGAGAAAGAACCTCAAACAGATTCCCCGTTGAGCACGGAGCCCGATGTGGGGCTTGATTTCACCACCCTGAGATCATGACCTGAACCAAAATCAAGTTGGTTGCCCAACTGACAGTCACCCAGGCACCCTCCCCACCTTAAAAAAAAACAAAAAAAAAAAAAAAAGATTTATTTATTTGAGAGAGAGAGCTGGGGGAGGAGCAGAGGGAGAGGGACAAACCCTGACATGGGGCTTGATTCCATGACTATGAGATCATGACCTGAGCTGAAAAGGATGCTTTTTTTTTTTTTTTTTTTTTTAAGATTTTATTTATTTATTTGACAGAGACACAGCGAGAGCAGGAACACAAGCAGGGGGAGCAGGAGAGGAAGAAGCAGGCCTCCCGCTGAGCAGGGAGCCCGATGTGGGACTTGATCCCAGGACCCTGGGACCATGACCCGAGCCGAAGGCAGACGCTTAATCAACTGAGCCACCCAGGCGCCCCAGCCCTTTACTCTCTATTGAGGTTTTTAATTTTGCTATTTTACATTTCCAAGGTCCCTTATTGTTTTTGATTGTTCCTTAAAAAATATAACAGCCTATTCTTTTCTTTCCCTCCCAGTGGATGTATTCTTTTTTCTTTGTAGATAGTGTTAGTTTTTTTCTTCCATCTTATCTTTTTAGTGTATAGGTAAATATAGGTAGCATAAGATTTGCCATTTTGATCATTTTTAGGTATGATACCATATTTTAGTTCAGTGGCATTAAATACATTCACATTGTTGTGCAACCATGGCCAATAATCCATCTTCAGAACCTTTTTCATCTTAAAGTGAAACTCTGTACCCATTAAACAATAACTCCCCTTCCCCCCCTTAGTTTTTTCAAGTTGACTACTCTAAAAAAAGCAAAAACTTATTATGATCTGTTTGTTTTGGTCCACTTTTCAAGCCTTGGAAATCTGGTGAATCTTGGTTATCCTGTTTTTTTTTTTTTTAAGATTTTATTTATTTGCCGGGGGGGGGCATAAGCAGGGGAGCAGCAGGCAGAGGGAGAAGCACACTCCCCGCCGAGCAAGGAACCCGATGTGGGACTCAGTCCCAGGACCTTGGGATCACGACTGGAGCCGAAGGCAGTTGCTTAACCGACTGAGCCACCCAGGCGTCCCTGGTTATCCTGTTATTTTAAAGAACCATTAAGAGATTGCTTGGAAATTGTGAGCATGTCGTGGGACTTGTCAGCTTTGGGTGTACTTTGGGCCATCCTGGGCCATTTTGGGGGGATATCTGTATTTATGTATTGTCTTGTGGACTAATCAGATTCTCCAGAGAAGAATCTTCTAATCTCCTACTTGGATGGATAAGACAAACTACCAGGGTTCTGAGATGTGAGTGGGGAAGTGTTGGGGTTCGTATATTCAGTGTATAATTCCATCTTCATATTATGCCTGAGATAACCCTGGCTGCAGAGCTTCAGTTTTACTCTTTCTGAAGACTAAACTTCCAGACTTGTGTAGTGAAAGGGCAGTTACTTGCTATGTGGAGTTGGGGGAGGGATTTGGGGTCTCACTGCTTCAAACTTTGGGGTACACTGTAGAGTAATTGTGCAGGCCTGTTTAGTTGAGGCATCCCCAAAAATCAGTATCTGCTGCCCCCCAGGGCTGATCTCCCCCTTGGGGCTATAAACCTTTTTTCTGGGATCTAAATGGGGAAAGGGGCTGGGGAGGGAATTCACTGTATAAAAATCATATATCCTGTTGTACTCCTGCCCTCAGTTGTGCATGATGTGCCTGACTATCCTGGTTCATCCTCCCCAGAAAGTAAAACTTTTGAATGTAAGGAGAATGTGCATCTTGGGGTCTAACTGCTTCTTTTTTTTTTTTTTTTTTTTTAAGATTTTATTTATTTATTTGAGAGAGAGAGAATGAGAGATAGCACGAGAGGGAAGAGGGTCAGAGGGAGAAGCAGACTCCCCGCTGAGCAGGGAGCCCGATGCGGGACTCGATCCCCGGACTCCAGGATCATGACCTGAGCCGAAGGCAGTCGCCTAACCAACTGAGCCACCCAGGCGTGCGGGGTCTAACTGCTTCTTAATCAGACTTTAAACCAGTCCTTCCTTTTTGAGCTCCCTTCTTATTTTGCCCTTCATGGGTATTGTTGCTTCTAGTTCCTGAGCGTTTCTGAGGTCCTGTGACTTGCTTCTGGGCTTCCCCTACTGCTGGCTTAGATTTTTCACTCTTTTGGCCTCCTGTAAGTCTGTGATCACTCAACTGTGTGCTTTCTTCTTTCAAAATTGTATTGTTCTAGTCTCCTTTTTAGATTTCTTTGTCCTTGAGAGTTTTTGCCTTTCTTAAAATCCCATTTCTGTCATCTTATTGGGGTTTGGAGAGGGAATGGAGGTAAACATGTGCTCAGTCCTTTTTTCCCCCCAGAGAAAACTGATGCACAGAAAGGTAATACAACTTTTCTTTCTTCCTTTTTTTTTTTTTTTAATTTTTATTATTTATTTGACAGAGAGATAGAGAGGGAACACAAGCAGGGGGAGTGGGAGAGGGAGAGGCAGGCTTCACGCCAAGCTGTGAGCCCGATGCGGGGCTCGATCCCAGGACCCTGGGATCATGACCTGAGCCGAAGGCAGACGCTTAACGACTCAGCCACTCAGGTGTCCCGTAATACAACTTTTCTTAATAAGTTATCAGCAAGCTTAGGGATGCCTGGCTGGCTGAGTTGGTTAGGCGTCTGCCTTCGGCTCAGGTCATGATTCCAGGACGGATGGAGTCCTGCATCAGGCCCCCTGCTCAGTGGGGAGCCTGCTTTTCCCTCTCCCTCCCGCTCCTCCTGCTCCTGCTCTCACTGTCTCTTTCTCTCTGACAAATAAAATCTTAAAAAAAGTTATTAGCAAGCTGAAATTAGAGTATTGGTTTTTTGATTCATAGTCTAGTATTTCTTCTATCCCATCTCTAGGGGCTGGCACCTTTCTTTCTTCACTGAAGAGCCTTCAGTAATACTAGATCTTATTAAATTGGAGGGGAAATCCTGTTTGGTTTTGACTGTCATTTTCATCTACCATTCCTAATAAGTGTGTTACCAGAGTTCATTGTGTGTGTGTGACACACACACACACACACGTGTGCTTTTTTTTTTTCTTAACATTCACTTGAGAGCGAGAACCCTAACTGCATGAAAGCACCTGATAGACTCTTATCCCTGCATAGTCACTCAAAGTTTTTGACTGACAAAGAGGAGGCTGGTCTCCCTCTTGAAATACTGCTGTTGCATGCATTTATTGAATATCTGCCTCTGGATGTCTATTTACAGCAAAAAGTACCTGCCCTTTTTAAAATTTGATGTATGGAACAAAGTGTTTCAATATGGAATCAGTCTTAAATGGTATGTGGTTCCCCCTCCCTTCCTAGCCCTCAATTTACAAATGAGAGCACAGAATTTGGGTGACTTGGTTAAAGTCACTTAGCTTATGAGGAGCAGTGTCAACACTTAAAGATTCTCTTCTGCTTCCCCACCCTGTCTGCTCCATCAGAAACTGATAGAAATGATTCTTTTTTTTTTTTTTTAAATATTTTATTTATTTGACAGAGAGAGACACAGCGAGAGAGGGAACACAAGCAGGGGGAGTGGGAGAGGGAGAAGCAGGCTTCCTGTAGAACAGGGAGCCCGATGTGGGGCTCAATCCCAGGACCCTGAGATCAAGACCTGAGCCGGAGGCAGATGCTTAATGACTGAGCCACCCAGGCACCCCTCGAAATGATTCTTAAAATTTATTTCTGTCAGAGGCAGCTATACCAAATGGAGTCATGTGAGTGTATTCATGTCTTCCAGTTTTCACTATGGGGAAAACCTTAATCAGGTGAAGCTTTCATTGTGTCTGATAGTCTGTTATTTTTTAATTTTATATTTTTTAAAATTTTATTTATTTGAGGGGTGCCTGGGTGGCTCAGTTGTTGAGCTTCTGTCTTCAGCTCAGGTCATGATCCCAGAGTCCTGGGATCGAGCCCCGCATTGGGCTCCCTGCTCGGCGGGAAGCCTGCTTCTCCCTCTCCCACTCCCCCTGCTTGTGTTCCTTTTCTCGCTGTGTCTCTCTCTCTCTGTCAAATAAATTAATGAAATCTTTAAAAAAAAATTTTTTTTTTTTTTATTTAAGAGAGCAAGCAGTGGGGAGGGAGAGGCGGACTCCTTACTGAGCAGGGAGCCCAACGTGGGGTTCAATCGCAGGGTCATGACCCCAGCTGAAGGCAGTTGCTTAACCGACTAAGCCACCCAGGCGCCCCTGTGTCTGATAGTCTAAATTGAATTTCATATGCTCTTCTTTTTCTTTGAATTTTGCAGCTTATATTGCCGTGATTATATCTTTATGACCTTATTTTTAGGATAGAAGTGTAACTTTGCTTTCTCTTCTCTTTCTCAGCTTCATCAAGATCTCATTATGCATCAGAAAAATGAAAAAACAGAAGAAAATTCTATGGAGGAAAGGAATCCATTTAGCCTTTTCTGAGAAATGGAATACAGGGTTTGGAGGTTTTAAGAAGTTCTGCTTTCACCAACACTTTTGCATTCTGAAAGCCAAACTGGGAAGGCCAATTACTTGGAGCAGGCAGTTGAAGCATTTCCAGTGCAGAAAAGCCCTTCAAATCCAGAAAACGTGGACCCAGGATGCACCTTTTTTTGCTAAGACAAAGTCCAGTGTGGCTGCTCAAAATGTTAGTACTTTGTCCTCTAAAGTGAAAAGAAAAGACTCTAAACACTTCATTTCCTCCTCAAGGACCCTCCTAAGACTCCAAGCAGAGAGGCTGCTGTCCTCAGCAAAGAACTCTGACCATGAATACTGTGGAGAGAAAAGTGTCTTGAAGGCAGTTGCTGACTTACCAGCAAGTAATGTTTTAGGTCAGGCCAATGGTCACAGACCTAGGACAGAGCCACAAGCTTCTGACTTTCCTATGAAGTTCAATGGGGAGAGCCAAAGTCCAGGTGAGAGTGGCACAATTGTGGTCACCTTGAGCAACCATAAGAGAAAGCGCTTTTGTTATGGCTGCTACCAGGGTCTGGAGCACCACAGGAATGGGGGACCCCTGATTCCAAAAAAGTTTCAACTTAACCAACATAGAAGAATAAAAGTATCTCCTTTTATGATGTATGAGAAATTATCCATGATTAGATTCCGGTACAGGATTCTCAGATCCCAGCACTTCAGAACAAAAAGCAAAGTTTGCAAGCTAAAAAAAGCCCAGCGAAGCTGGGTGCAGGTCACTGGGGACCATCAAGAGACCCTTAGGGAAAACGGTGAGGGTGGCAGTTGCAGCCCATTCCCTTCCCCAGAACCTAAAGACCCTTCTTGTCGGCATCAACCGTATTTTCCAGATATGGACAGCAATGCTGTGGTGAAGGGAAAGAACTCTCATGTGCCTGATGGCCACACTAAAGGAAGCCCTTTCTTGGGCAAGGAGCTTAGTTTAGATGAAGCATTCCCTGACCAACAGAATGGCAGTGCCACATTTACCTGGGACCAGTCACCCTGTTCCTCTCCTAAGTGGGAGTGTACAGAGCTGATTCATGACATCCCCTTACCAGAACATCATTCTAGTAACATGTTTATCTCGGAAACCGAAAGAGAAGTCATGACTCTGGGTCAGGAAAATCGGACAAGTACTGTCAGTGATGACAGAGTAAAACTGTCACTGTGTGGGGCAGATCAATCTGTGAATAGTGTAGATGGGCCTGTGTCTGAAAAGACTGCTGGGAATGAGAGCTCATGCCAGATGGATGAGGATGGATCTCTCAAGCAGAACATTCTTAGTTCTAAGTTGCTGGACCACCCTTACTGTAAAAGTCCCCTGGAGGCTCCCCTGACATGCAGTGGACTCAAACTAGAAGATCAAGCAGGAAGTGGGAAGAACAGTCAGAAAGTCTCTCCAGTGGATGATGAGCAGCTGTCAATCTGCCTTTCTGGTATGCATTCTTCCTTTATTCTCCCCCAACCTCCAGCCCACAATTGCTGTCCATTATCTTTTCTAGGAGTCCTGTTTTCTCCTTCCACACATAGATTTCCCTTAAAGCAGCTAGACATTCCTCTTTGAAGCCTTCTATATTGCTGTATGACCTAAATGTTCCATAATTTAAGTCTTAGTTAATAGACATTTGTGTTGCTTCCAGTTTCCTTCTATAAATGAAGGTGCAACAAAATTATTCTATATACGTAAACAATTTTTTTCTGTAGTAGTGGAATTGATGGTGAAAGAACACACTTAAAATTTTAAGAGAATTGTGAAGTTACCCTCCAGAAAGTTGAACCAGTTTACATTTGTTAAACTTTACTAATCTTCTAGATCACGAGAGTTTGGGGTTATTTTTAAGATTTTATTAATTTATTTGAGAGAGGCGCATGTGTGTGCATGGTGGGGATGGGGCAAGGGAGAGCGAGCATGTCAAGTAGACTCCTCGCTGAGTGTGGAGCCTGATGTGGGGCTTAGTCACACAACACTGAGATCATGATCCAAGCCGAAATCATGAGTCAGATGACTAACCTACTGCACCACCCAGGTGCCCCAAGAGTTGTTTTGATTTGCATTTTGTGTGTTTTTTTTGGTTTTTGTTTTGATTTGCATTTTTAAGTTTAAAGTTCGAACATCTTTTTCTGTGTTCCTTGGCCATTTTTTGTTTGTATATAATTTTCCTTTGCCTGTTTTTCTATTGGATTGGGTTATTTCTATTTTATTTATTTGGTATATGAGAATTCCCTATATGACAGGCACTGTGCTAAAGAATTTGGCAGTGAGCAGCAAACACTGGTTCCTACCTTCCTGGACCTTAGCATCATTCTAATAAGTTTTAATTATAAATGTCTTAAGAGGGGTGCTTGGGTGGCTCAGTCAGTTAATCGTCTGTCTTTGGCTCAGGTCATGGTCCCAGGGTCCTGGGATCAAGCCCCGCATCGGGCTCCTTGCTCAGCGGGGAGTCTGCTTCTCCCTCTGCCTGTTGCTCCCCTTCCCCCCCGCTCGTGTTCTCTCTCTCTGTCATATGAATAAATAAAATCTTAAAAAATAAATAAATAAATGTCATAAGAGTTTAAGTTTTTCCTTCCCCAAAGGTAAAAGTACCCCGACTTGTGTGTAGTAATTTTGCTTAAAGGAAATTATCAGTTCTTCATTGTGAAACTTACCTGTTTTTATGGCTTCACGTTTTTACGTCCTCCTTTAAAAAGTCTTCTCGTCAAAATGTACCCCATGAGTAAGCTGATGTAAACATTTTTGGAAGACAGTGTGGCAGTATCAATCTTTGACCCATTCCCCCTCTTGGAGTTTATCCCAGATATGAATATATTTGTTCAGGGATATTACTTGTAGTATTGTCCTGGTAGTAAAAGACTGGAGACAACTAAAATAATTTCTATGGAAGTATAAGTTACAGCACATCCAGGCAATATTATACTATGGAGCTGTTAAAGAAGAAATTCAATCCATATTTTGAAACTGAAAGCTATCTATATAAAGTGAAAAAAGCAAGTTGCAGAACAGAATGATGCCATTTTATTAAGAGAGAGATGCATACATGTAGGATAAGTATATGTGTGTATGTGTGCACGTGCATTTTTATAGGTCATATCTGGAAAGATGTATCAAATTGTTTTAATTTTTTAAAGGATTTATTTTAGAGCGCGCGTACATAAACACACACATGCAGAGGGGCAGAGGGAGAGGGGAACCAGACTCCCCGTTGAGCATGGAGTTCAACCTGGGGCTTGATCCCACGACCTGAGTGAAACCAAGAGTCAGATGCCCAACCAACTGAGCTACCCAGGTGTCCCTATCAAATTGATATATAAAGGGCTTTTTCTGGGGAGTTAGGAGCATTGCTTGTTGGTAGTTTAAACAATTCTGAACACTTTGTTTTCCTAACCATTAAGTATGTATAAAAAGTTTTTCTCTACAAAAAGACACAAAGTACAGAGTCCTAGCAAATCTTTAAAAAAACAAAACAAGGGGCACCTGGGTGGCTCAGATGGTTAAGCGTCTGCCTTCGGCTCAGGTCATGATCCCAGGGTCCTGGGATCGAGTCCCGCATCGGGCTCCCTGCTAGGCGGGGAGTCTGCTTCTCCCTCTGCCTCTCTCTCTCTCTCTGACTCTCATGAATAAATAAATAAAACATTAACAAAAAAAAACTATTTCTGATGTTTATACTGCTCTAAAATAGAGAAAGACAAATTTCCCTACCATAAAGTTAGCAGAACCATGGTATGATACATAAACCTGAAAAAGTGAGCATTTACACACAGATAGCAGTTAACTTATAGAGATGTAGCACTTCCAAAAGCAATTGATAAACTGACTATGGCATACAGTAAAACTAGAGCGTGACACGAGGAAATAGGGATTTTTACACAATGCATACTTGGTGATCTGTGAAGTAATTAATTATCTTAATAGGTTAAAGGAGAAAAGAAGAACCAGAAGAACCATTTTGGGGATTTGCTTAGCATTTCCATGTCCACTGAAAAGAGTTCAAGGCAGAGCAATAGCTACTGCCCATCACAGCCCTCCCCACATCAGCAAATTACCCAAGTACAGATAAGCCCACAATCGATCACCAAACATCTGAGGAAAGCCAGCACAATGGAAAGGACAAATTCAACAAATAAAGGAACCCGAGTAATTAGGATTAATAGAGCAATTAGAATAGAAATCAGTATGGGACATTTAGTATAGTAGATGCTTCTTTAACTGACTTCTATAGCGTTACCTAATATTAAGTTCCATGGAATGCTGAATGCTGGCTCTTCTCTAACATAACTGCACATTATGCTCCCTGTAGTGGACTGATATTTATCATGAGCCAGTTGTACTTACTACAGTTTATTTATTTCATAATTATATTAAATATTGCATAAAATTGGTTTTGGAAGGAAAAGAAATAGATTCCTATGTTAATATAGTCCAGATGGATTAAAAATTTAATTAGAAACAAATACATGCAAACTTGTACGTAGTATGAATGAACCTTGAAAACGTGCTAAGTGAAAAAAGCCAGGCATAAAAGGCCACATACTATATGATTCTGTTGATTTGAAATGTCCAGAGTAGGCAATTACAGAGATACAGAAAGTAGGTTAATAGTTGCCAGGGGCTGGAAAGAGGGAGCAATGAGGAGTGACTGGTAACAGGTACACATTTTCTTAGTGGAGTAATGCAGATGTTCTTGAATTAGGTGGTAGTAATGGTTGCACAGCTCTGAATATACAAAAAAAAATTGTACACTTCAGGAGTGATTTTTTTGTGTGTGGATGCAAATCACAGCTCAATAAAGCTGTTAAAAAGAAACAAATATAAGAGGCCATTTTATAATCTCACATTGATAATACATGTTAAAGTATGATAGGAACCTCAGAAGCAGTATACCAGTTTGACTCGCTAAACATTACAATCCTGTACATATATGTAACAAGTCATAAAATTTAAAATTTAATTTTAAAATTAAAGCTTGTTGCCATTTCAGGTTTATAAAAATGTTCAACCTTGTTTTCTTCTAGATTATTGTGTTATTTTTATATTTTGCTATTTGGAAAAAAGTAAAGATGGATCTCTACCACATTCTTCACATCAAAATGAATTCCGACTAAATAAAATTTAGTTAATCGTTCTAATACTATTTATTGAGTAATTCATCTTTTCCCCGTGGTTATGAATTGCTCCCTGTTTTGGGGTCTTTTTCTGGACTTGGTTTTTCTGTTTCTATGTTAGCACTAGTCTGCTTTAATTACAGCAGTTAGTTTTATAATTTGATGGGATTAGGCCTCCCTCTTTTTCACCTCTCTTCTTTAATCCTTTTAAAAAATTTCTAGGAATTTCTCACATTTTGGTCCCAAGATTTGTTTTTTCAGTTAAGTAAAAATAATGGCTTCTGATTGGTATTGCATTAATTTTTAGACTAATTTAGGGAAAATTGGATTCATTACAATACTGAATTTTCCTGTCTAAAAACAAAGAATTACTCCGTTTATTAACCTTCGTAGAATTTTGTGCTTTTCACTTAGGTTTGCACATTCCTTTAGTCTTAGATATTTCATGCCTTTCTTACTTTAAGATTTTGTTTTTAAGTAGTCTCTACACCCAATGTGGGGCTCAAACCTACCACCCCAAGATCAAGAGTTGCCTGCTCTACCGACTGAGGCAGCCAGGTGCCCCATGTCTTCCATGTTTTTGATGGGACCTTTCTGACATGGGTATTGTATTTTGTTGGGAGAACCAAGTGGTTACATTTCTTGTATGCCCAACACCATGAACCCCATTCCACATTCATGGTGGGATGTGACCTGGCAGTTGCCTCAAGGAAAAACTGTCCAACACAGTTGGTTTAACATGAGCAATTTAACTTCAGAAATAACACCTCTGGTTTTGTTTTTCATATTATTACCTTCTGTGGGGGGTTTTGTTTTGTTTTTAAGTTCTTAGTTTATTAATCCTCTCATGAAAAATCTGCACGGTCACCACAGATAAAGTCACTGCAGAATCTACTCCTTTTTGCCGGCACCAACATCGGCTTTTGCTGTCCCCCTGACTTTCTTCATTCTGTTCTTGTGTTCCTTTTGCTGTTTTCTTGAGGTTTTTTTTCTTCTCATGTAGGCCAGGTCTTGCAAGTCTGTTTGGGTTAATTTTTCTTTGCATAATCCAAGGAATCCTAAATCATACCAAAGCCAGTTAACTGTCTTGCCACCACCAAAATGGGTTCTAACTTCAAATACAACGATGACGTCTGGTGTGGTCTGGTACATTTTGGCTAGTGTTTGTTGAATTTCTGTCTTAGGTACTGTTGCCTTTCTGGGGTGAAAAACATCACTGATCATTTGTTTCTGCTGAAGTAGTAGGTTGGTCATGAACTTCCTGGTCCTGATAGTTACTGTGTCATTCACGATGGCAGCCAAGCTTCACGCCGCCAGTGAGGAAAAGAGCCATATTACTACCTTTTGTACTTGCAGGATGAACTCTACTTTGAATTGTAGTTTTTGTTGTGTTTTTTCCCAACATTTTATCCTTTGTTTCTTGGTCACATTGAAGTTTTAGCACTTTGGGAGTAAGAGAAATTGTGTATTCCAGATGCATTTTTCCTTTTTGGCTTATTAGTTTGGTGAATGCAACTGGGTAAAGAATAATGGATTTAATTCTCATTTTAAGAAGTTTTCTGGGTAATTCTTGGCCAGTGGGTATTAAAAGGGAAAGATGAAGTGGAGAACAAGCTGCTTTTGTAGAGAAAAGATACTAGGTATTTCCTGCTTTGGATGTAGCATAGTGTAATAGTTAATGGTTCACTTTCTGTGGTCATATAATAACCACATGACCACAATCAGAATCTTGTCTCTGCCATATACTAGTTAAGGGTCCTTGGGAAAGTTCCTTAACCTCCCTAAGCTTCCTATCTCCATTTGCAAAATAGAGATGCTATCTAACACCAGGGTAGTTATAAGGATGAAATGAGATGTATTAGTGCTTGGTTTATGATAGTGCTATTTGACTGCTATTTTACTTCTGGTCCCAATGAGATGTGTTTATCTCCATGAAGGGTTCTCCTAGAAGATCTAGGCAGAGCCTTTCTTTTCTTTTCTTTTTTTAATTTATTTGTTTGACAGAGAGAGAGAACAGTGAGAGAGGGAACACAAGCAGGGGGAATGGGAGAGGGAGAAGCAGGCTTCCTGCAGAGCAGAGAGCCCAATGGGGAGCTCGATCCCAGGACCCTGGGATCATGACCTGAGCCGAAGGCAGATGCTTAACAACTGAGCCACCCAGGCGCCCCTTTATTTCCTAGGACCTTTTTGGGTATGTTTCTTCAGTGGATCCTCTTGGAAGCCACCTGAAGACTATCCTGTATTCTGGCCAAGAGGTCACCCTTTATTTCCCCTCTTAAAATGTGCCTCCCCAGCTGTTACCCAGTTAAGTTCACCTTATAGGGTTATTCAGTATCAGAAGTATAATAACTCCACCAAATTATATGATATTAAAAATGCCTTACATTTGTCCCTTCCTATGAGATGTGAAATTTACACACATTTACCAAATAATACAGTGACCGTGATATCAACAATTAAGCTGTGATTGTGATTTTTAAAACGATAACTCCTTAAGTTACCAAATGTGGTACACATTTAACCAGGTGATTAAACCCTTTAGATTTTACTCTTCGGGTGGTAGGATTCGTCTTCAAGGTTAAGCTATTGAAAAAAACAAAAAAAAACAAAAAAAAAAGGTTAAGCTATTGAAGGATGTCAGTCTTTTTTTTTTTTTCTTCTTAATTTTATTTTATGTTAGTCACCATACATCACATCATTAGTTTTTGATGTAGTGTTCCATGATTCATTGTTTGTGTATAACTGCCCTCCTTAATATCCATCACCAGGCTAACCCATCCCCCCACCTCCCTCCCCTCTAAAACCCTCAGTTTGTTTCTGAGTCCATAGTCTCTCATGGTTCGTCTCCCCCTCTGATCCCCCCCCTTCATTTTTCCCTTCCTACTGTCTTTTTTTTCTTTTTTAACATATAATGTATTATTTCAGAGGTACAGGTCTCTGATTCATCAGTCTTACATAATTCACAGCGTTCACCATAGCACATACCCTCCCCAATGTCCATCACCCAGCCACCCCATCCCTCTCACCCCCCACCACTCCAGCAACCCTCAGTTTGTTTCCTGAGATTAAGAATTCCTCATATCTGTGAGATCATTTGATACTTGTCTTTCTCTGAAAAATATGGAACACTTCACAAATTTGCCTGTCATCCTTGTGCAGGGGCCATGCTAATCTTCCCTGTATCGTTCCAATTTTAGTATATGTGCTGCTGAAGCGAGCACTGAAGGATGTCAGTCTTTCATTCTAGCTAGCCATTCCCTCCATTTAAGCATCAGTAGCTTAAAAAGCCAATGTGAAATAATACCTTTGGGCATTTCTCTTTAGATTGGAATGGTAAGGGCCTGATCTATTTTATTTTAGCCTTTATAAAACATAACTTTTAAAAGATTTCTTTATAGCATAATATATAGTAATATAGGTTAAATGTGTGGTTGTTATGTGTAGGTTAAGTATTGGGAGAATGACTTTTTTTCTGAAAATGTTTTTTCCGTTGTAATTTTTCTTCCTTTATTTAAGGATTCCTAGATGAGGTTATGAAGAAGTATGGCAGTTTGGTCCCACTCAGTGAAAAAGATGTCCTTGGAAGACTAAAAGATGTCTTTAACGAAGACTTTTCTAATAGGTTTGTCAATAATGCTTAAGTTAAGCCCTTGAAAATAAAATTATTGACTTTTAATTTAAAAAAGTAGATACTTAGCAATAAATTGAGCAGAACTCATGTTTCTTTTCTTTCAAAATTTTTTTTTTTTCCAGAAAACCATTTATCAATAGAGAAATAACAAACTATCGGGCCAGACATCAAAAATGCAACTTCCGCATCTTCTACAATAAGCACATGCTGGATATGGATGATCTGGCAACCCTGGATGGTCAGAATTGGTTGAATGACCAGGTTAGTATATTGTAGGTTCTTGGTGTGGAAAAGTTGCAGAGGATGTTGGACCATAAAATATAATTAATCTTTGGGTTGGCCTCACAGTTATCTTTTGGAATCAAAGATTCTTTACCCTTATTGAAGTGACTCATTCAACCTAGTACCCAAATGTTAACATTGTCAGTGTTACTCATTCTGTGTGGGATGTTATGAATTGTATAGGGTTGGTAAGCTGGTTTTATGTTGGCTTTTTATAGGTCATTAATATGTACGGTGAGCTGATAATGGATGCAGTCCCAGACAAAGTAAGTGAAAAGTTACTATTCTTCAGGAGAGAATCTTTGTATATTAAAATGAGTTTTTTTAACGTTATGTAATTATTTGATATTCCTTAGATTTTTTTTTTTTTTTTTAAGATTTTCTATTTGTCAGAGAGAGCAAGCGAGCACATGCAGGGGGAGTGGCAGGCAGAGGGAGAAGCAGGCTCCTCGCTGAGCAAGGAGCCCAATGCGGGATTCGATCCCAGGACCCTGGGATCATGACCTGAGCCGAACGCAGATGCTTAACCAACTGAGCCACCCAGGCGTCCCTTTTCCTCACCTTTTGGTCTATCTTACATGCAAGGGTTTTTTAATTTCCATTTTCTTTTGAAATTAAATCTGGGCACAGCTTAATATAATGTGGATGCTTGTATTTGATGTCTCTTCTAGGTTCACTTCTTCAACAGCTTTTTTCACAGACAGCTGGTAACCAAAGGATATAATGGAGTAAAAAGATGGACTAAAAAGGTATTCCCTTTATTTCTTTTTGATTCTAAATCTGAAATGCAGATAAGCCACTTGGAGTAGAAGGATAACAACTTTAATGTCAATATGACATTAATTAGAAACAGACTCTTTAAAAAAAACTTTAATATGATAGTTGTTTTTAATACGATAGTTCTGGGTTTTTTTTACATCTTATTGTTTGAAACAGAAGATACTAGTAAAATTCTGAGTCTATCCAGATGATTGGAATATTCTCTAACTGAAAGCACTGGGCTGGAAGTTCATAGTTCCAGCATTGCTATTAGCTTGCTGTGCAGGGTGGACAAGACAGTTTTTCCGGGCTTTAGAATGCTATTTATAAAACAGCATGATAAAATCAGTAATCCCTAACCTTAATTTCTCCTTCCAACCTTAATTTCTCTCTATAGCCATTGACTAATGCCAGCAACATTACTTTAAAAGCCTATTTATATTCTATTTTTGATATTTTGACACGATTACCAATGAGTTCAAATTCCAGTCATAGGTCTAGAGATACTGTAGCATTTCACTTTTTTGTACTGGATGGGTTATAGAAATTAAGAGAAAGTCTTGAGTAGCTATGGATGGAAGTAATTTTTTGCTAAGTACACACACTTGATTGAACACTGCTATTTAGGTAATATGTGCAAACCATCGTCAGTAACGCCAAGGTAAAGGAAACGTGGTTGGAGAGTCCAAATCTGGGGCAGTAGACAAAATGAACTTAGGACTCAGAGCTAGGTTCATATCCTAGTCCAGCCACTTAACAAGTTGTAAGACCTTGGGCAGATTGCTGAATTCCTCTAAGCTTCAGTTCCCTCATCTGTCAAGTGGTAGTATCATGACTATTTATTTTGAGAGGATTAAATGAAATAATTAGTGTAAACCATTTAAGCGCATGGTAAACACAAGTGATGATCATTATATTATGATGGTAGAAGCATGTGAGGCAGCTAGTGTAGCTGGAATGCAGAGAGCAAAGAAGAGAGTGGCGTGAAGTAGACCTGATCAGAGATATAGGACCTTAAGGTCTAGGTTTTGAATTTTATCCTCAATGTATAGGAATCTATTGAAGGGTTTTAGGTGACATCATCCAATTTGTAGTCTTTGCTCTAGCAGCACTGAAGAAAATGGGTGAGTGTGGGAGCAAAGCTGATACGGGTAGAACAGAAGGCCATTGTAAAGTACCATTGATGGTACTTTGGATTAGAATGGTAGGACAGATGGGATATGTACACAAATGTATGATCTGGGAAGTAAAATTAACAGGACTTGGGTGATAGATTGGTTATGGGAATGAAGGAAAAGGAAATGTGAAAGATGACTTCCAAGTACAGTATATGGTCATCTTTCCTCATCTACATCACTCTTCTTGGTTAAGTAGCATCCCACTATATGGGTATATATTTTTAATTTGAACAATCCCCTAATAGTTATCCTTAATTTTTCTTGTATAAACACCACTGCAGCCCATCCAGTGGTACAAGCCACATACAGGCATACGTTCTTTTATTGTGCTTCACTTTATTGTGCCTCATGGATACTGCGTTTTTTACAAATTGATTTGTGGCAATCCTGCATCAAGTAAGTCTGTTGGCGCTGTGTTTCCAATAGCATTTGCTCACATTGTGTCTTTGTGTCACATTTTGGTAATTCTTGCAATATTTCAAACTTTTATATTTCTTATAGTGATCTGTGATCAGTGATCTTTGTTCCTATTATAATTGTCTTGGGGTGCCATGAACTGTACCTATATAAGATGGCAAACTTAACGTTATGTGTGTTCTGACTGTCCCACCCACTGGCTGTTCCCCCATCTCTCTCCCTCTCCTTGGGCCTCCCTATTCCCTAGACACAGCCATATTGAAATTAGGCCAGTAACACCACAGTGTGTTCAAGTGAAATTAACCCTCTAAGTGTTCAAGTGAAAGGAAGAATCACATGTCTCTCACTTTAAATCAGAAGCTACAAATGATTAAGCTTCGTGAGGAAGGCATGTCAAAAGCCAAGACAAGTTGAAAGCTAGGCCTCTTGTGCCAAACAGCCAAGTTGTGAACACAGAAGAAAAGTTCTTGAAGGAAATGAAAAGTTGCTACTCCAGTGAACACATGAATGACAAGAAAGTGAAAATAGCCTTATTGCTGATAAAACAAAAGTTTTAGTTGTCTGGATAGAGGATCAAACCAGACACAACACTCCTTTAAGCCAAAGCCTAATCTAGTGCAAAGCCCCAACTCTCTTCAATTTTAGGAAGGCTGAGAGGTGAGGAAGCTGCAGAGGAAGAGTTGGAAGCCAGCAGAGGTGGGTTCATGAGGTTTAAGGAAAGAAGCCGTCTCCATAACATGAAAGTGTAAGGGGGGCAGCAGGTGCTGATGGAGAAGCTGCAGCAAGTTCTCCAGAAGACCCAGCCCACATAATCCATGACGGTGGCTACACTAAGCAGCAGATTTTCAGTGCAGATAAAAGTGTTCTATTGGCAGAAGATGTCATCTAGGACCTTCATAGCTAAAGAGAAGTCAAAATACTTGGCTTCAGAGGATAGGCTGGCTCTCTTGTTAGGGAGGGGCTAATGCAGCTGTTGACTTGAAGTTGAAGCCAGAGCTCCTTTCCCATTCTGAAGATCCCAGGGCCTTTAAGAATTATGCTAAATCTACTCTCCCTGTGCTCTGTGAATGGAACAACAAAGCCTGGCTGACAGCACATCTGTTTACAACATGGTTTAATGAAGATTTTAAGCTCACTGTTGGGAACTGCTCAGAAAGATTCCTTTCAAAATAAGACTGCTCATTGACAACACACCTGATTACCTAAGAGCTCTGATGGAGACGTCCAACAAGATTAATGTTGTTTTCATGCCTGCATAAACTCTGTTCTGCAGCCCATGGATCAAGGAGTAATTTCAACTTTCAGGTCGTATTATTTAAGAAATACATCTCATAAGGCTGTAGCTGCCATAGATTCCTCAGAGGGATCTGGGCAAAGTTAATTGAAAATCTTCTGGAAAGGATTCACCATTCTAGATGCCATTAAGAACATTTGTGATTCATGGGAAAAGGTCAAAACAGAAACATAAACAGGAGTTTGGAATACGTTTATTCCAACTCTCATGGATGACTTTGAGGGGTTCAAGACATTAGTGGAAGAACTAACCACAGATGTGGGGAAAATAGCAAGAGAAAGAGAATTAGAAGTGGAGCCTGAATGGGGCACCTGGGTGATGTGGTCAGTTAAGCATCCAGCTCTTGGCTTCGGCCCAGGTCATGATCTCAGGGTCATGAGATTGAGCCCCACATCTGGCTCTGTGCTTAGTGCAGAGTCTGCTTCAGACTCTCTGCCTTTGCCCCTCCCCCCACTTGTACTCTTTCTCTCAAATAAAATCTTAAAAAAAAAAAAGTGGAGCCTGAAGATATGACTGAATTGCTGCAATCTCATGATAAAACAGATGAGGAGTTGTTTTTTTTTTTTTTTTAAAGATTTTATTTGAGACAGAGGGAACATAATCAGGGGGAGGGGCAGAGGGAGAATCAGGCTCCCTGCTGAGCAGGGAACCCGATGCAGGGCTCCATCCCAGGACCCCGGGATCACAACCTGAGCCGAAGGCAGGTGCTTAACTGACTGAACCACCCAGCCGTCCTGAGGAGTTGCTTCTTATGGATGAGCAAAGAAAGTGGTTTCTTGAGATGGAATCTACCTTTGGTGAAGATGCTGTGAAAACTGCTGAAATGACAACAATGGATTTACAATATTACACTTAGTTGATAAAGCAGCAGCAGGGTTTAAGAGAATTGACTCCAGTTCTGAAAGAAGTTCTGTGGGTAAATGCTATCAAGTAGCATCGCATGCTACAGAGGAATTGTTTGTGAAAGGAAGATTCTGTCGATGCTGTAATCTTCATTGTTACCCAATTTTAAGAAATTACCATAGCCACCCAACCTTCAGTACCCTGCCATCTTGATCAGTCAGGAGCCATCAACATTGAGGCAAGACCTTCTCCAGCAAAAAGATTACGGCTCGCTGAAAGCAAGTTAGCACTGATGATGGTTGGCATTTTTAGCAGTATATATTTTTTTAAGATTTTATTTATTTATTCATGAGAAACAGAGGGAGAGAGAGGGAGAGAGAGAGAGAGAAGCAGAGGGAGAAGCAGGCTCCCAAGGAGCAGGGAGCCTGATGCGGGACTCGATCCCAGGACCCTGGGATCATGACCTGAGCCGAAGGCAGACGCTTAACCATCTGAGCCACCCGGGCACCCTTAGCAGTATTTTTTAATTGAGGTATGTATATTGTTTGTTTAGATATAATGCTGCATACTTAATAGACTACAGTTTGTGTAAACAAGTTTTATATGTACTGGGAAACCAAAAAACTCATTTGACTCACTTTATTTCAGTGGTCTGTAACTGAACCCAAAATATCTGAGGTATGCCTGTATATAACAAACAAAATGAACTAGAAAGGTTGGAAATAAAGTGACAGTTAAAGAGGTACTAGGCAAATGTAAACTAAAAGAAAGGAGTGGTAAACAAAAAGAAGGAATGGCAGTATTAGGGACAGATGAGGTAGATAATTAAGGTAAAAAGTAAACTGTGATAAAATTTCAATATATAGAAATATAACAAAATTACAGAAGGAGACCTTGATAAAATAGTGATAGCAGGAGACCTCTCATAGTTGGACAGATCAAGTTGACATAAAATAAAATCATAAATAAAAATAATACAACCAGTACTACATTTGGTTTAATAGATATATACTAGATTTTGTAAAAATTGATCATGCATTTGGCCACATAGAAAATTATTACCTATGTTATTCTTTGATCACAGTTCAGTCAAAAATAAATAAAGGTGGCCAAAAAAATCTTAACAATCTGAAAATTTTACAGATATGCATATTACTGGATATAAAACACTTGGATCTAAAAATAAAAAGAAATTATATACCAACTGTCTAAAAAGGGATGGAAAGGGGGAACTCATCTTACCAAGCACTGTGGAACATAAAGCTGGTTTGAGAAGAAAGTTAATGGCCATAAATGCCTTTATCGTAAAGAAAAAATGAAAAATAGAAGAATTAAATACCAAATTAGATTACCTCAAGATAAATTACAGAATGACCAAGGATTTGAATGCGACAAAAATCAATAAAACAAAGTACTAAGAAAATCCATAAAAGAGCTTTTAAAAAATAATCTCAGGGTAGCTAAGTCTATTCTGTGTACAACTTAAAAGTTTAAAAAGAAAAATGAATTCAGTTAGTAACAAGAAAAATAACTATTTAAAATAGGAGCAGTGTAGGGGTGCCAGGGCGGCTCAGTTGATTAAGCATCCCACTCTTGATTTTGGCTTAGGTCATGATCTCAGGGTTGTGAGATCAAGTCCCGTGGTCAGGCTCTGTGCTGGGTGTGGAGCTTGCTTAAGATTCTCTCCCTCTGCCCTGTCCTGCACCCCGCCCCCAGTCAGCGTGCACATGCTCGCTCTCAAAAAAATGAAAACCCAAATGGAAAATAGCAGTGTAAATAGACAAACTGGAAACAAAATTGCCATTAATGTCACAGAACTAATTTTCTTAATATATAAAGGGTTTATACAAATGGATAAGACAAAGACTCCACCAACTAAATAGAAAAATGGATGGGTGAGGGGCGCCTGGATGGCTCAGTCGTTAAGCGTCTGCCTTTGGCTCAGGTCATGGTCCTGGGATCGCGCCCCGCATCGGGCTCCCTGCTCCATGGGAAGCCTGCTTCTCCCTCTCCCACTCCCCCTGCTTGTGTTCCCTCTCTCGCTGTCTCTGTCAAATAAATAAATAAAACCTTAAAAAAAAAATGGATGGGTGATATGAATGAAAAGATTTGTAGTAAAGAGAGGCTTATTACTGTTGATATAAATCCTTTGTCAGGTCTAGGTTTTATGATTTCTCTCCGCCTATGGCTTTTCTGCTTATTTTAACCATGTGTTTTGGTAAAGATCTTTAATTTTGAGGATTTCTCCATATGGATATCCAGTTGTTCCAATGCTTTTTGCATTGAAAAGACTTCTCTTTCCTGGTTTAGTTGCTTTGGCACCATGGTAGAAAGTTGACTCTCTCTCTCTCCTCTGTATATATATATGGGTCTGTTTCTGCACTTTATGTTCTCTTCCATTGATCTGTGTTCTTAATGCTAATACCACACTGTCTTGATTACTGTATCTTTATAGGAGGTCTTGAAATCAGCGTAAGTTGGCCAGCTTTATCCTTTTTCCAGAGTGTTTTGGGAATTTTGGGTCCTTTGCATTTTCATATAAATTTTAGAATTAGCTTGTCAGTCTGTGTTTTTTAAATCTGCTGGATTATGATTGGGATTGTCTTTATATGTTCATTTGGGGAGGATAGACATCTTGGTACTGTTAAGTCTTCTAGTCCATGTACGTGGTATATGTTGCCTTTATTTTGGCGCTTTAATTTTTCTCAGCAATATTTTGTAATTCTTAGGATACAGGTCTTACACATTTTTAAAAAATATAACCCTAAGGATTTCGTATTTCTGAAACTTCTATAAAACAGAATTTTTAAAATGTTATCTTCTAGTTTGCTGTGAATTGATCTCATATCCATTGACCTTACCAGACTCACTAACTGGTTCTAGGAGCTTTTTTCCTTTTTTAAGATTTACTTATTTCAGAGAGAGCGTGCATACATGTTGGGGGAGGGGCAGAAGGAGAAGGGGAGAGAGAGAATCTCAAGCAGATTCTCCGCTGAGCACGGGAGCCCCACGCAGGGCTCAGTCCCGCAATCATAAGATCATGACCTGAGCTGAAATCAAGAGTCATCCCTTTAACCAACTGAGCCATTCAGGTGCCCTTCCTCTAGGAGCTTTTTTGTAGATCGTTAGATTTTCATAGATAATCATGTCTGTAAGTAGTGTTTTATTTCTTCCATTCTAAACTGTATGCCATTTTTTTCTTGCCTCATTGCACTGGCTGGGACTTTGCCTTGTTCTCAATCTTAGGAGAATAGCATTCAGTCTTTCCTGCTATTTATGATGTCAGTCATAGGGTTGCTGCTGTTGTTGGTTTTTTTAAAGATTCATTTATCTTAAGAGAGCACTCGTGAGTGGGGGGAGGGGCAGAGGGAGAGAATCCCCACTGAGTGCAGAGCCCAGCTCAGGGTGCAATCCCATGACCCATGAGATCATGACCTGAGCTGAAACCAAGAATCAGACACTCAACTGACTGAACCACCCAGACACCCCTGTAGGGTTTTTTTGTAGATACTCTTTATCAGGTTAAAGAAGTTTTGCTCCTATTTCTAGTTTGCTGAGAGTTCTTAGTCCTAAATGGATGTTGAGTTTTATCAAATGCTTTTCCTGCATCCAAGGAGATGTCCGCATGGTTTTTCATCTTTATTCCTTAAATGGAACCCAGAGTGAAGGAACAGCATCAGTCTTGCGACATTAACAGTCTCAGGGCCACATGATGGCTCTTGAAATTTCAGCTTGATCATGACATAAGTTCACTTCTGTTTACAGAGCATGGGTTAAAGTAAATCACATGACAGGACTACATTCTTCACCTGGGAGGGACAGTGAAGCTACATAACATCAGGCAGTTCTGTGGACTCCTTTTATAGGGAGGGCAATAAATAATTGGAATCAATCGTATCTTCCACACACATCACCCTTAATTATATGTATAAAGTGTGTGTGTGGGGGGGTGGCTGGGTGGCTTAGTCGGTTAAGTGTCCGACTCTTGGTCTCGGCTCATGTCATGATCTCAGGGTCATGAGATCAAGCTCCACGTTGGGCTCTCTGCTTGGCACAGAGTCTGCTTGGGATTCTCCCTTTCCCTCTGCCCCTCACCCCGCTCGTGTTCTCACGCATGCTCTCTCTCAAATAAAATCTTTGAGGGGGGAAAAAAAAGTGTGAGAAAATGTATTAAAAAGAAAAATAGGGGCACCTGGGTGGCTCAGTTGGTTAAGCGACTGCCTTTGGCTCAGGTCATGATCCTGGAGTCCTGGGATCGAGTCCCGCATCGGGCTCCCTGCTCAGCAGGGAGTCTGCTTCTCTCTCTGACCCTCTTCCCTCTTGTGCTCTCTATCTCTCATTCTCTCTCTCTCAAATAAATAAATAAAATCTTTAAAAAAATAAAAATAATCTGGAAAGATACACACTGAAGTGTATTTTTTCTGTATTTTCTAATTTTTATTTAAAAATTTTTTAAATTAAAAAGTTTCTTTTTGAGAAGAATGTAAATTTGGTCTCATTTAATAATGTATTTTAGATGTGATTCCTCGTTTTAGACACTCACAATTTACGCATTGGAGAGGACCAGCTGTCCTCATATTTCCTTCCGTCCATGCCACTTCTCAGGTTTATGGATGCAGAGATTGGAAAAGCAGAACTGCTAAAGTGCTTTGCTCCAAGATCATGTTGACTAGAAGATTCATCTAGAGCAGGACAATTATCTGAATAATCAGAAAGCAAGGAAGGCTTGAGAAATACCTTCTAAGAATCTGATGTAGTTCAAAACAGTCTTGTGTTGTTTTAAACCAAGGAATCAGTAAAAAAAACAAAAAACAAAAACTCTCAAAAAATACCTGAAAAAAGAAATTCAGTTTTTTAGATGTTTATTGAGCACCTACTACTTTATCATCCAATCCACAACTGGGATTTTGAGTGGAAGAGTAAATATTTCTAGATTGTGAAGAATTATTAAGGATTTTTTCTTAATTTCAACATCTGGGAGACCTGATGTAGTAATAATGGTAGTAGTTAAGATTCACTGGCTACATGTAATGTGTGAAAGCAGTTTTACGCATCTTTTATGTATTATCACTCTCAACAGCTTCATAAGGTAGATACTGTTATCTGTAGTTTATATAGTTGAGGAAATCAGGGCACAAAGAAGCTACAAAAATTGCCAAAGTCATCTTGCCAGTAAGTGGAGGAGGCACAATTTGAACTTGAGCAGACTTACTTCTGAGCCCATGATCTTAACTATATGGAGTCTATAAAAAGAAGGCTTATAGTCTGTGCTGTTTTCTAATACCATAATTCTTTTTTTTTTTTTTAAGATTTTATTTATTTGACAGAGAGAGAGACAGCTAGAGAGGGAACACAAGCAGGGGGAGTGGGAGAGGGAGAAGCAGGCTCCTGGCTGAGCAGGGAGCCTGATGCAGGGCTCGATCCCAGGACCCTGGGATCATGACCTGAGCCGAAGGCAGACGCTTAATGACTGAGCCACCCAGGCGCCGCCCCCCCCATGATTCCTTTTTAAATAAGAATTGAGTCAAGATCAAATATGTACACAAGAAAATTAAGCATAAAAATAAGAGGCTAAGTAATGTTAAGTACTTGAAAAGGTGTATGTACAGGTGTATCAGGTTAAATTCGAAATGATGCTTTCTAGATCTTCAGTTTTCTTACTGTGTATTATGGCCTAGTAGTTACAAGCATGGGCTTTAGATTCAGACCTGGGTTCAAATTTTGGCTTCACCACTTGCTTTTTTATGGCCATGGGCAGGTCAAAGGTCAGTAAATGGAAGCTGCTGCCATTGTTGTTTTGGATAGTCTGTGGTGATGGCTGCATTTCTTTCTTCTTTTTTTTAATCAGGTGGATTTGTTTAAAAAGAGTCTTCTGTTGATTCCTATTCACCTGGAAGTCCACTGGTCTCTCATTACCGTGACACTCTCTAATCGAATTATTTCATTTTATGATTCCCAAGGCATTCATTTTAAGTTTTGTGTAGAGGTAAGTTAATATACTGCCTGTATTTTTTTATTTATCTTGTGATCAAATAGTATCTTAGAACAGCAGAAGTCAGTCTCACAGAGGATCAGTTTCTGTCATGCAAACCCTCTAAAATGTTGGCAGAGAAAAGACTACTACAAGAGGAATCCCCAGGTTGGAGGAGGTAGCTGTCTGTGATCTGGATCCCGCCTCTGAGATACATGCCCTGTTTGGATTTTGTCACATGTTTTCCTGCCTTCCCATAAAGCTACATTTTGAATATGGATAAAAATCGTTTTCTTTGGTTTCTCTTAGAGCTAAAATTGGCTTGTATCTTCAAAATAACTCATGTAGAATGAATTATAATCAAGAGAATCCGCTGGCAAAATATGAGAGCTCAGTTAATGGGAGTTCAACAAGATGGTGGGAAGCAAAGCAAGAAAAAAATCAATAGGTTTCCTGGTTTTCTTTCACTAGCAAGGACCAGTTAGAAAATTTAGCTTTCTGAAGACAGAAGATTCCATTTTCAAAAGCAACAAAGATGTAAATTGCCCAGGAGTATACCCTAGCAAAAATTGTGGAAGTTGTTTAAGATGAAAACTCTGTATTTACAGGAACTCTGAGCAGATGGAAAGATAGGTAGACTCAGTATTGGAAAGAGATCAGTTCTCCTCAAACTAATATATACCCATTTGTCCTAATTAATTTCCCAAGAGGATTTTGAATGAAACCTGATAAGCTTACCCTAAAATCCATATTGCAGAATTCATGGCATGAATAGTGAAGGAAGGAATCCTTGGTCTACTAGATATCAAACCATAACACAGTTTTAATAATTAAAACCGTATTTATATTGGCTTAGGAATAGACAAGTAGATTGGTGGAACAGCACAGAGAATCTAGAAATAATTCGTGTATATGAGGGAACCTGGTATATGATAAAATTGGGAAAAGACAGGCTATTCAATATATGCTGTCGTGAAAAGCAGCTGTCTATTTGGAAAAGTAAAATACAGCTCCTTCATACTATTTATAAAAACAAATTCCACATAAAAGTTCCTAAATATAAAATGCAAAACTGTAAAAGTTAGGATAAAACACAGAAGATGTTAAGTTCTTGGATTAGGGAAGGATTTCTTACATAGAACCATAAAAGCAAAAAAAGACATAAAAGAACAGACTGATAAATTGGACCATATCATAATTTAAAACTTCTGTATGCCATAAAATTCAAAAATAAGCATAGACCTGGAGAAAATGTTTGTGACATAGAGAATAATCACTACCCAGAATATATAAAGAACTCCTACAAATGAATAAAAGGATTTAATAGAAATGGACAAACGTTTAAGTAATTTTTTAGGAAAAATGCCAATAACCTTTCAACACATGGAGAGATGCTCAGTCTTACCAGAAATACAGGAAATGCAAGTTAAAACTACATTAGGGCTCCATCTTTTGCCTATTAGGCAAGTTTGATGGTATTCAAGTGTTTACGTGGGTATAAGATAACCAGCTTTCATATTTTGTGATGGAGTGTATGAATTGATAAAGCAAGCCACTTGGGGGAACTGAAATTCTGATCAGTTCTAAGTGTCTTATAAATTTATAAAAGATGTATGTCCTAGGGACGTCTGGCTAGCTCAAGTCAGTGGAGTATGCACTCTTCATCTCAGGGTCATGAAAGTATATCCTATTGCACACCAGTTTTAATTCCATAAAAACGCTTGTGTATGTATGTGCACCAGTGATAGGGCATACAACCAGGATGTTCACTGCAGCATTACTGATGGTAAAAAGTCACAACCACCTAAATTAGCTCTACCAACAGAATAGCTAAATACACTATAGTATATTCATACTATTAAACTGACCATAGCAGTTAAAAAAAAAACAGATTTCCATGTGCTAATATGGAAAGATCTCCAAGACATAATGGGTTTTAAAAGGCAAGTTGCAGAATGATACGGTAGAATACGTGTGCGTATGTGCGTGTGTGCATAAACACACAGTTGTATATATAAATATACTTCTACTCCACCTTCAGGGGGGTTAGTTTAAGTCCTGTCATCTCTGACTTCACCCTTAGATGCAGAGAGAGATAGGCATGGATGTAGAGGGCATAAGGGGAAGTTTGAAACTCTGATAGGCTTCATTCTGGTAGAGATTTCAGCAGTGGACTTGACTGTATTTAGTACCCAGAATGGGTTTCGATAGAACTTTCTATAAACTGCATGATACCTTTACCTGTAGCCCTCAAAATACAGAGTACATCTAAGGCTGGGAATGTTTTTCATTTAGTTCCAGTTATTTCTGCCATGGGTTCCTTCTTTGTATTGAGCATTGGCAGTAATCAAGACTTTCTGTTTCGCCAGTGTTTATTTAAATTTCAAATTCAGGAAGTTGGTTTACTGCTGGAAAAGGCTGACCATCTTATAAAAAGTTCTAATCAAAACATATACGGGTGTCCACAGCCTATAGAAGGTCTGAGTCACTATGAACTGAAAGCTCAGAAATAAAGTTCAGCTTTAAACTCTTTAATGCAGACTTTGCCCGATGGTGGGGCCACAGCCTCCTCCTTTGCTTCTGTCTGCTGTGGGCAGGTTCCATTTTTCACCAACTGATGGAACACAGCATCTGTGTTGTGGTTTCTTTTTAACCAGAATATAAGAAAGTATTTGCTGACTGAAGCCAGAGAAAAAAATAGACCTGAATTTCTTCAGGGTTGGCAGACTGCTGTTACGAAGGTAAGTATGTGATAAAAATGAAAACTCAGGCATGTCAAGGGGATGGAATCATCTTAGGGGTGGGTGTCTTTAAGAAGCATTTTAAGACTGATGATGGAGATAACCAGTGAGAGTCTGGAGGCTGCAAGGAAGCAGCTGAGAATAAACCTCCATTTAGTACTGATCATCTAGCCGCTTAGTTTCCCAGTGCTTGTGGGGAACAAATTTACTAATTTCATCCTTGGGGCAGGGGCAGCTGCTACTGATATGGTTGCTGTATTGGGGGAAAAAAAGAAATAAATAGGTATGTAACTTTTTTCTTTTGGTGGCACCTGCCTCTTGCGTCTTACTTCCAGATGACCCACATAGACCCAGAGAAATGCTGAAATGACCATTTGGATCCACTAAGGGCGCAAGTGCACTGGGCTTCTTACCAGGCATTTGGGGAAGACAGTACCTCGAGTGTTTCAGTCTGAAAGCAACACTATGTTTGCCCTATAGATACTCAGGCTATATGTGGGGCAGAGTGCCCAGGCACAGCTTCTCCTTGCTGTCACAAATACCAGTGTCTTAAATTTTATGGTCACTGCTTTATTGTTTTCAAAGTGTTTTTGCATGTGTGATCTCATTTAATCCTTACAACCTGTAAGGTAGGCAGGTTGGTCTTTTAGGGATGAGCATCAGCTTTATTCTGTAGATAAGAAAACTGAAGCGTAGGTGTGACCTTCCCCAAAGGCCATCAGAACTATTGAGAGTCAGGTCCTTGATCTTAGGTCTGTCTGGATCACTGAACACAATCTTAGAGGCAGAATCTTGAAACAAACTTTAAGCCAAACCCAAAAGCACCAGATTTATTTGTTCATCCTTGACCTGTCCCAAATGCTAAGGTTTAAATAAACTAAGCATACATTTTCTTTTAATAACCTAGTCTTTTAGTTTAAACCAGAATTGGACTTGTAAATTTTCTAAATTTTCCCAACTAGAATATCCAGGTAGTCTAAATTTAGTCAGGATCTTTCATACTCCTACTCTAAGCAGAATACATAACGAGTTCTTTTGGAAACCTACTGCTTATCTTTATGATTTCTTTCAAAGAGTAAGAGTTGTGTAGTAGGAGATAAAAAGTGGAGACTGCTAAGCAGGATTGTTAGTAAGTATTCAGAGTCCAGGCATATGCTTTTTGATCCACAATTCTATTTTGATTCCATTGTCAGTAATCTGATAGTAAAACTAGTTATCCAAATGGAAGTTTTAAAATAGGATTTTGATTTCCTATTTCTCCCATTTAGGCAAAATGTTCTATAAGTTGCAGTTGGTTGCTTGCTCTTTTGATGTGGCTAGATGCCTCCATAAAATCCCATACTTTAAATACCAAAGGTATATACCAGTCCACCAGCTGTCTTGGACAGAGATGGATTTCTTGTCTCTTGCTCATTTTTCCATAAAAACAAATTATCTGAAGACAAGTACTTGGGTTTTATTTTAATGATCATTTTGTTTTTCTCTTTAGTGTATTCCACAACAGAAAAATGACAGTGACTGTGGAGTCTTTGTGCTCCAGGTAAAGAAATCTGTTTTTCCAGAATTTAGGATGTGTGAATTAAATTTGTTGGGCTTAGGCAGATGGGAGCCCCTGTGGTATGTACCTGGCACTAGGAACAGGTAACAGGATTTCCTCCTTCCCTTCCTTTGTTGATGGGGAGCTGTAGTTTCTGCACTTTAAGATGTTATTAGAAGCAACACCTTCTAAAGCCAAGAATGAACAGCTTGGTATCCACCTCTTATCAGAGGTTATTAGTAAGGCACAATAGAGACTGACCTGAATCTGTACTGTAGACCCTTGGCAGTTGCAGAATTAACTATGTTTTTTTAACCATTGATAAGTGGTCTTTAACCACAGAGTAAAAACTAATTACATTTTTATAAAAAAGGGCCACATTCAAAAACTGCTTTCTCCTGCTGTGGGTTCCCTTAGTGGTCTTAACGGGCTACTGAAAATTTTGTTAGACATTATACTTACAAAGGAAATCGTATGTAATTCATGAGCTTAGAGATTTGCAGAGATCATGAAAGATGGGCTCATTCCTCTGACTCATTAATGTCTGGGGTTTGTAAACAAACTGAGGTTCTCACTTAAAGACCATGTTAGATCTAGCTGCCGTCTCCACACATTACACCTTTAGAATAATTGGAGCCTCTTCATCAGTTTCTGCCTTTCACATATTGTGTGGGCAAAGAGGGGAGACCCTAAGTGATATACTTACTGGGAAGGGTGACTACAATTTGGAGGTAAATGTTTTAAAGCAAAGTGTTTTACAACCAAACTTTAAAATGCTGCCTTAGACCCTATTCTATTAGGTCTGCATCTGGGAAAATACACTGGGCTGCTTCCTAGCTCCACATGCCACTTAACATGTTTCTGGGACCTTTGCAGTACTGCAAGTGCCTCGCCTTAGAGCAGCCTTTCCAGTTTTCCCAAGAGGACATGCCCCGAGTGCGGAAGAGGATTTACAAGGAGCTATGTGAGTGCCGGCTCATGGACTGAAACTCAGCAGGGACTCTGGGAGGTCTGACCAAGTTGAAGCAGATGGTTTGTTACTTGAATCTCCAAACACTTATTTGAATTTTTATAGATACTTCAGATCAGTGGTGTTGGGCCACTATTGTTACCTCAAATTTGTTTTTTGCCCTATTCTTTTCTCTAGCTACCGTGTACTATTTTTTAATGTTCAGTTTGGTTTTATTTTTAATTTTATGGATTCCGTGTGTTTCCCCCATATTTAATATTTATTATCCAAACGCATGCATATAGACAGAGCATGCAGTGCAGAGTATTAAAAAAAAAAAAAAAAAAACCCTAGTAGATTTGGTGCGGCTTTTGAAACTTAGATGTGAACTGAATACAGGTTTAAAATTTAATCCCAGAACCTAAAAGCGCAGGATGTTTTCAATACAACGTAACTCTGAGAATGATAGTTGTTCCCTGGGGCATAAAGGGTAGCTAGGAGTGGTGGTTTTGACAAAGCCAGTCCTGTTTTACCTGCTGCACCTTTCACTGACTTCCCTCTCCCAGTGAGTCTTGCCGAGTTGCATTCCTTTTGAAGGGTGAGAAGAAAGCCAAAACCTGACTGGTGTGTTCTGTTTTTAGAGGCACACTTATAAAGTGCAGTGCCTGCTTTGGGAGGAGTGGATTAAGGTGTGAGAAAAAGACAACTTTGGGGGTCCAATTACATTAACACATGAGAAATTTCGATCTTGGCTGTAAGAAGAATTCTAACAAATTCCCACATCTTATAAAGGCTTTTGCTGGAACACTGCATTCTCTGGATTTTTGGTTTTGGCCCATTAAAAATGTTACTATCCATTAAACTAGTGGTCAAACACATGAGAATTCAGCCTTTCTAAGTACTTTACAAGTTGTGGTTATCCTTGTGTGATCTCCCATATGAAAGAAATTAAGATTTGCCAAACACCTTTCTTTTTCCAAAGGTGTTTAAAATATAAATCTTCAAAACTGAAGACGGACCAGGTCTTTTGCAGATGCGTGGGGAGGAGAGAAGAGGAAGGGTAACGAGACAACTGCACAGGAGCAGAGCAGATGTTGAGTTTTTTTGCTCTTACCTCTAGTGATCTCAGCAGCATGCGGGGCTCCACGTTTTGTCCTTTGCTTAGCTGCATTAGGATTAAAGTAATGGATCTTACATCTTTATTCTAGCCTTTTGTGATATTTGAAAGGAAGGGGAATCCAGAAAGATGCATGTTAAATTACCCAATTATCTTTTGAAGTGGGGCAGAAAAAACACAAAGGTGTATGTAAGAATCGCAGAAGCTTACACAGAATAGCAAGTTAATGACAGAAGATGCTTGGCATTATGCTGGTTAGGTGTGGGGTATTGAAAATAAAAAGCTAAAACGTGCAGTTTAACTTGGCCAGAAGGTGAGGCTGCCAGCAGTTGAGGGTAGAGTCCCAACATATTTACACGCAGGGTCCCCTCCCCACCCCCCCATTCTAAGCACCAACACCAGTGTTTACGTTGTAAAGAGCCCCAGCACTCTCCAGAGCCCTCCGGACTTACTGTAAAACCAGGTCAGTATTTCTGAGATCAGAGGCACTTTATGCTGCTACAGTTAGGGTTATGTCAGCATTAGCAAAGATGACAGTTTAAGTGGGGAGGATATGTTCTTGAGGTTTTCCTACAAGATTATGCAAAATGTGAGATTTTTTTCAGATCTGCATGTAAGACATTTGCTTAACTTTTGCGGGGGAGGGAGGTAGTTATACAAAGTAGCCAGTACAACTAGGCTGTGGATTCACAGTATCTTAAACTTTAGAGCTCCAGCTAACCTCCTCACCGACAGAACGAGGCATGTAGAAAAGACACATACAACTGTGTTCTGAATTTTCATGGCCAAAACTTGAGTTGCCATTTCCTCCAGTCTGAGAAATGGTCACCCTCTGAGGCAAGCAGGGGTGCGCATAGGTAACTAAAGCGAACTGTCGAAGGCCAGCTTCCCTTTCACTTCCAGTTTAATAAGGCAGCTTGAGGTGCATTGTCCAGCGTGCTTTTGCCTAAATGTCAAATATTTTACGAATCTAGTTCAAAATGTTTCTCTGTTCATGAAACTTGGTTTTAGCACATAGTCTACTTTTCCCCCTATTCTCGTGACTAGGTGTGAACCTCTATTTAGTCCAAGCCCTACATCAGAAGGGCCTTTGTCCTCTTGTTTGCAATAATTTCTTCCTTGCAACAAGGACATTTTTGAAATGTAGTCTTGGCTGCTGGTGGAAGAGGCAGGCATTGTTTTATTGTCACTAGCTTGGCACTGAATTGTTTGGGTGCTCACAAGGTGGGCAGCCCTTATGCTTTGGGGGTTGAGTGCAGGCCTTGTACAAACTAAAAGCTGCTTACGATGTGCCTTCAAGCTGTGCCCAGTCCTGTCCATCAACAAACTTACTGGTCTGTAGTTATTCTTTCCAGTGATTTGTCCGTATGTTAAATCTGTAGCAATGAATGTAGATTTAATTCAACTTTTAGTTGAGTTCTCTTAAGAAAGAGGACCTCTTAAGGAAGGGAAAAGCAGCAGTTGCTGCCAAAAGTCCCCAAATCACTTTTTGGTTTTGCATCATATTTTCTACTTATCACTGAATATGAGTGACACCGGTCATGTTGGATTCATAGTTGGAACAGAACAACAGCCCTAACTGGGACACAGCCAGCACTAGTCTAGAGCTGCCCTTTTTCTCTGCAGTTTTGGTTCACTGGTTCCCTGGGTTAGAAGTGCTGACTGGGAGAGCTCTGGATGAATCAGACCCTTCAAGCGTGTTAATAGTGTGAACTGAATATACTGACTACCTGCTCTGCTTAATTAAGAAACCGAACTAATCAGCAGTTGTAAAGCACCTGCTTTTCTTACGTGTGAGGCTCTGCCTCCTGGCCTATAGATAATTAAGACTTAGGGACTATACCATCAGAGAAGTGCTAATTGTATTTGGGTGTTACAAAAACAGCCTAGATAAGCTGTTGACTTAAATGGTACCTTTTGGTCAGAAAAAGAATTTATTTAAAGATTGTGATCATGTAAAATTACTCAAACCTTCTAGCAAAAATATTTTTTTGAAAAATAAACTAAATGCCTTTATAAATGTGTGTTCTCTTGAATAACATGTACTGTTCGGTGAATAGTTTCTCAAAGGGATGCTCTTGTCATGACAAGGCTCATTTATGAACAGTGACCAGCAGCCTACCCTTAAATAACACCGCCCAACAGAATTTTCTGCCATGATGGCAGTGTTCTCTGAGCATAGCTAGTGGCTACCATATTAGGTAACTGTCAAATCAAAACGGACATGCGCAAATTCACCTTACTCACAAATATTCCAGAGTAAGAGTTCCGGTGTCACTCTTGTATAGGTGAGGTAGTGGGGCAGAGACAAAGATAACTTGGTCTGACAATTCAAACAGGAACCACGGTCTACGGTTTTAAGGCCTGTAGAAATCTGAGTTATATTTTACTACAAAATTATAAAATACGTTAATTCAAACTACAGTGTAAAAGAAATTTTCAAAATGATTGTCCTCATTAAACATCTGCAAATGGTTCTTTCCTAAGCATTTAGAACTAATTATAGCTCTTAATCCAAATAATCAGCTTGAACTTATGAGAGAACCTGTACTTACTGTAATGTGAAAGATGTTCACATTGAGATACTTCAGCCCCAACTTTCAAAAGCTCTAGTGGAAGTTAGGAGACATAAGTGAAATTTTTTCATCTAGCAACAGAGTAAGGGAAAATTATATTAGACTAAGTTTAATGAGCAACAGTTCATATATATTAGAGAAATCACCTTGTGCTTTACAAATGCAAAATAAATTTTGTAGACCCCCTTCACCATAGAGACTGTCAGCTCACTATACAGGCTCTGAAGCTCGGTAAGCACAATTAGGGAAAAAACAAGACAGACCTCAAATGAAAATTGGCTGAAACACATTTCCTGTGGGAAGCAATTCTGATTGTTCTTGTTAAGTGTTCTCTTGATTTTTCAGCCTCTTTTTTAAATCCAGTCCATTCCTGAGATCACTCTGAAAATGAATCTTTAAGTAGAACACATCTTTTGAAAAATGTGTACAGTAAATACTAGTCAAGTCTTAATACATAAAGCACATAAGCTGGTGGTATCTCCTAGGACAGTCTAAGGCTTACTTTTGCATCAACAATTTAGGAAGTTCCCTTGACTCCTCCAAGTTTGCCTTTAGAGATTAGAACTCAACACAGAAAACAAACTCAGTTGTCAAACATCTTACATTCAGAACAGTACAACATAGCAAAACCCCATTTATTACATTTTTATTTCCTGCAAACTTAAAATTTTTGAGGCCCCAATGAAGACCATGAACCTATTATCAATTTTTAAAAATTTTCCAGCTTCCTGAAAAAAGTGTGGTGTTTTGGGCTGATAAATGAAACCTGTTGCCACAGAACACAAATTCTGACCTGGTGACATAAAATCATTCCGGCAACCTGACATATGGCCAAGATTCTAAGACTACAGAATAAAGGCATTCCTTTGGATTCTGTCCTTTAATAGTTTTCAAAGGACAACCATAAAATGGCTTCGAGCTCAGTAGAGACCTTGATCAAAGCATGTTAAAAGTGGGCAGGTTTGCAGACCTTGGGTAATGCATGGCAAATTCAACAGGCCAAAGGAGTGAGTTTTCATGATGGGGCTCTCACCACTCACTGGTTTTGGGCCAGTTTTCCATAGCCTCCTCTCCCAGCATCATAGTCCTGCCGATACTCATCTCGTACCTTAATTGAAAAGAACATAAGTTACATTATAGAGAAGATTGGTGTAATGAATATGCCTCCCACAAACACATAAGCAGGCAAACTATTCAGCCTTTTCAGGTGTCATAATGTGAACATTCAAGTAGGACCTAACGTTTTTTTGAGCAACAGATGTAAAGCTCAACTGCCTTGCAAAATTAAGATTACGTGGGGCGCCTGGGTGGCTCAGTCATTAAGCATCTGCCTTCAGCTCAGGTCGTGATCCCGGGGTCCTGGGATCGAGCCCCGCATGGGGAATCCCTGCTCAGCGGGAAGCCTGTTTCTCCCTCCCCTCCCTGCTAGTGCTCTCTGTCTCTCTCTCAAATAAATAATTAAAATATTTTTTAAAAAGATTACGTAATGGTTGTTTGCTTACTTAATAAATAAAACTCTACGCCCAACATGGGGCTTGAACTCGTGACCCCGAGATCAAGAGTCACATGCTCTACCATCTGAGCCAGCCAGGCGCCCCGCCTATGTTTGTTTTTTTTTAAACCAAACATCATGCTCATACTCAACAGCATTCAAAAGTAGCATATTCCAAATGGCTATTTTAAAATTAAAAACTTAAAATTTATTTCAATGCATTTTCCTTTTGTTCTAGACACTTACGGGTACAAAATGCCCCTAGCAGAAGTCCAATAATGGTTGCTTGTGAAAATGTATAGAATCTATGATTTACCAATCCTAATGGGTAGTTTTCAGATTCACTGCAAGCCAAAGGTTATAGCACAAAATTGTTTTCTAAAAGAACAAACACAAAGTGACAAAGCCCTTGTCACTAGGACGGAGATACCAGGCAAAGACTGAGCCAAGAGAACCTTCCTGCATACCTGGCCCCCAGATCGCCCACGGCCATACTGCCTTCCCTCCTTAAAGCCTGCGTCCCAGTCTGTGCGAATGATCCGGTCATCCAGACGAGTTCCGTTTATGTACCTCATGGCATTTTCTGCATCTGCTCTTGAATAGTATCTTCAGTATTAAGGAACACTATATAGCATTTCTCCAAACGTTTTTGGAAATACAGAAAGCAACGTCTAAATGAAGCTGAGTTGTTAAGAAAGAGTACAAAAATGAATCCAACCAGAAGGATTTGAAAGATAGTAATTTGGTTTGCACAAGCCTGTTTGAGGTTGGTCCAGAAGCACTTACAGAGTCAACTATGATTTATCCAAGGCTACTGATCGTGATTTCCTAGATAATCCTGTTAATAATTATTTGGTCCCATTGTCCCCATATTTTGGTTTGTAAAGTATAAATATGTTCAGTGCAGGTTTAGAGCGCAAACTGCACACTTATCCAAGGAAACAAAAACATCCAAATTTGGAACTGTATATTCAACTTAATAAAAAGAGAAGGTTATAGGGCATATGGAATTGCCATTGCATTTCATTAGAAGGAAAGACTCAGTATCCTATTACTCAGGTTAGGTGTTCCCAAACCTGTTTAATCAGATCCACTCAATCTACCTTTGGGGTGATATTAAAATCTATAAGCAATCATTATCATTAGCTGGGTTCAGGGAAATGCTGACCTCTATTGTCTTCAATTACACAGGCAGGGAAGCACTTGCTGAAATTCCAGTGTCCAACACCTACACGATGCCTAGCACACAATGGGCATTCAGTAATTTTTTTGCTGGATGAATGACATGATAAAAGGGCAAAGTGAGAAAAAACACTGGCAATGGCAGCCTCTCTTGGCAATTGTCTGCTGTTATGATTGTGGATCTCTGACACACAAGACAAATGCAAAAGCATTCAGTTCTCAGAGACTGAGTATTACCTATAAGGTGGACTTGCTTTGTGTCTTCTGTTGTTCTCCCTGTACCCTCTGAACTTTGATGCTATTGCCCCCTGAGGCAAATATAAAATCTGGGCACTCTTGTCCCTTGTGTCTGAAGGGGGAATGGAAGAAGCTTGTAGAGCCCAGAAATCAGACCCCAAAATCAAAAGTTTGGAATAGGTTCGAGAGTAGGGCTTCCAGTTCAAGCTAAAAGAGTAAGCACATTTCTCATTTCCTTTTCAAGACCCCATTAAGATGACATATATACACCCAAAGAACAGAAGAGGCCATCAGCAAACTCGAGGTTCAAGGAAGTGAAGGAAGAGTGCTAATGGATCAAACAAAGTCACAGTTTGAAATATTCTTGAAGGGGCTTAAAGGAGACAGCAAATAGGGTTTAATTAAAGGTCTGTATGTGGGAAGATCACCTGCGAGCAGGAAGGCATTTAAACACAGGCAAATAAAAATAGAACGACAGAGTTTTGAACAAACCATCTGGAGGAACCCTATAGGGCAGTGTCTTTGATGTTAGTTAAGTCAAAATAAAATCCCTTTTCATTCTGGCATTTAGGAAACCCACATTTACCAAAGGCGGGGCAGCAACTTGAGAGAGAGTTGCCTGGGCCCACAAAGTTAGCCTTCTTTTCCCTAATTATGACTGGGAACCTGGGGATCACCACACATTTAAGGAAAATTTACAGCATAAATACAGCCCCCCCCCCAAAAAAAATTCCCAGGTAATTTGGGGCACAAACAAAATTTTTTGAAACGTGTTAGATGAGGTCTGGGAAATTTCTCAGAATGTAAGACAAAGTGACCAAAAAAGAAAATGTTAGGAGAAAAAAACCCCAAGGAAAAAATCCAGGAGGTCCAATATTTACAGAATTTCCAGGGAGATGCTAGTTTGGTTTTGACCTTATATAAAATCAAGCTATATACATCTACATAATGAAATACTATACAGCCACTTAAAAAAGAGGTAGACCTATGTGTGCTACCATAAAACAATCTCTAAGGTGGGGAAAAAATAATGCATGCAGTATGCTACCATGCATCCACAGGATCACTGCTAGAAAGACACCCAAGAACTGGTAACTGTCTGGGTTTAGAACAGTACAGAGATTTTATTTTCCCTATATCCTTTGTACTTCTGTACACACCATGAGCATATATTTTCAAAAGACTGTTTCTTAAAGAATAAATTCTAAACAAAGCATGGATTTCAGAACAGAATGTAAATGTTAGCAGCTTTTACAACACAAGAGTGCAGACACACTGGGCAGAAGGTAAGAGCTAGATGAAGGAAGGAGACGTAGAGGTAATTAAGTACAGGGATGCTAATTAGTGGATGGCCTCACTCATTTTTTTAAAACTAGCCACTCTTGGCCCCACCCTCACCCAATAGCTACACCAGACACACAGGAAGGATACTCCACAAAGCAGAACCCACATGCTGTTTTCTTCATCTTATCCAGGCCCATGATGATCTTCTTTATGTCACCACTTTTGCTGAAGAGTTCATAGATTTGTTCT